TGGGGAAGTAAGTAGGTATAGGGGAGGATGTTGGAACATCTTCAGGTGGAGGGGGAGGGGCAAAGCGAGTGACATTACTGGAGTAAGGAGTATAAGAGAAACCTTGTCGGCGTGCTTCCTGTCTGGCTTCGTGTAGAGTAAGACCATTTTTGTTTCTGAGAACTGCTAACTCAGACTCGAACTTGTAAGTGGGTCAGCCTCTATAAAATACATTATGAGGGCCGCCGCAGTTAGCACACGTGCGTGTTTGTGCAGGGCAGTTTGATCTGTTAAGAACAGGTTGGAAACAGAGGGGGCATCGGTTTGTAGAGCGGCAGTGTTTGGCAGGATGTCCAAATCGCAAACAATTTTGACATTGACGGGGAGGATGTTGGTATGGTTGAACAAAGAGGGATTGTCCACCAATGTAGATACGAATGGGAAGGTCATGTGTACTGAAAGTAATTTTGTCAATGTTGGTGGGTTTCTTTCGATGACCTCTAAGAGGAATGGAGTAGCAATGTACTGATATCACGTCCTGGTCTTTGAGGCAGCCGAGCAAGTCTTCTCCACAGTCTGACCAATCTTTGGTATCGACTGGGCAGTTTGCTGGGGAGATAGAGACATAGTTCCGGTACAAGTATTAAGAGTTGGATGAGGTTCTGCAGGGATGGGGTTGCCAGAGAGATCAGTTAGTTTTGATAGTGCTATAGCTTCAGCTTCAGATCTGACTATTACCAGATGGGAGCGATCGCGTCGGGTACGGAAAGGGACTCTGCCTACATGTTTTTGGAGACATTGTTGAAAGAGAAGAGTGTTGCCTAAGGAGCTGTAGGGGGGATCATGGAAAATCGGTCCCATTTAGCTGGGCTAAATAGAGTATTTAAGATATCTGTAGGGTTGGTGGTGGTAGTAGGACGGGCGCGTGTGGAAGCGGGAGTGTTGTTGAGGGGGGTAGTATTACGGAGAGATGGAGAATAAGGCTGTAAGGTAGTAATAAGGGAGATTGGGGTGTTTGATGGAGAAGGTTGTGGGGGTAGAGTTGATGAATTTGAGGAAGTTGGGAGGGTAGGGATGTCTTCTGGAGATTGAATCTCTGCTTGGGTGGGTAATGCACTTGTAGGCATTGAGGAGTAGGTAGTAGTTTCAGTGTTCGTAGTCCTGGTCAAAGGAGAGCCTGGGGTGGGGCTATTTGATAAAGGGGCAAGCCACATTGCCCCTAATAAGGGGATTACATCTTCATTACTGGTCATGGGGACCCTTGATTATATAAAATGGCATAAACGGTCCACCTCCTTTCGCTTGAAGGTAAGGGCTAGACAACTAAATCGGGAGTACCGTGCCCATGGTTCCCGCAGGCTGTTCAGGACTGGCACAAGGTCAGCCTTTCATCCTTTCAGCACGGCTCTTACACCTTAGGAAGTAGATAGTAGAAGGGATTGGAGAAGGGACAGAAACAAAAAGCTGGAGGGGGAAAAGACCATGCAAAATTAGTTGAGTCGAGGGCTGAGGCCCTAGATAGGGGAGATCCCTGCATTGGGTCAAAGTCTCCGTCTCCTAAGCCCCCCCACGACAACAACGGGGAGGAGCAAGGGCCAAGGAACTCCTTGAAAATGCATTTAACTCAATTTCGGCAAGATGGACGATAATCGCCGAAAAAAAGACTAGGCAATCCCCTTAACCCGAATTGCAAAATTATTAACATTTAAAGAAAAAATATTGATTCAGATTTTAGTAAACTTTGGGATGTAAAAAAAATTTATATGTATATATATAGTCCCTTTGTTTTTATATAAGATGGCATGGATGGATTTGGCTTAAATGTTAGCATTACATCCTTACAGTAATGCCAATGTTGTAGATAAACTAAATATGGTTAATTATCATATAAATTACTCACACTAAGACATAACCAAGAAAAAATGTGCATCTTACAACTTTTCCTTCACAACGATTATTCCGGGCACTTAATTTGATGCTCCCATGGATTGCATAAATGTACATACCATGCCCACTGTGTCTTACCTATCAATTGTCTCTTAGACACCCTTGACTCCACAAGTATCAAGTCACTATTTACTATTTACTAGTACTACACATCTCTCCCATTTACCCTTTTCTTTGACTTCCAGAAAAAAAAATTGTTTGTGTTATATAACTGTTAGCAATATCAATAACACTGTATTAATTATGTCTATAATAATAATAACAGCATCAGTAGTGATGGCATTAGGGAAAAAAAAAAAAAAAAAAAAAAAAAAAAAAAAAAAAAAAAAACTTAAAAACTCAAGGAAAGGTGAAATCAGGTAAGATTCTAAGGTCTACTGACTGTCTATTTGTGGGTAAGCACTCATGTCCCCACCCATAAGCAGACATTTCAGATAGAGAGAGGGGAAGAACAAAAAAAAAAAAAAAAAAAAAAAAAAAAAAAAAAAAAAAAAATCCAGTGACCTTGACATTTTTCTTACATCATGGGTTTAATTTTCCGGAAACAAAGGTATATAATAATGGGCCAAATCAAAATTTAAATACACTTCTAAAAGGAACACTTTATTACACTCTAATTCATATCTCTCATTTGTCAATAAATTATAATTCACCTTACTGAAGAAATGTCTGCAGTATTAGTGCACAAATAATTGACTTCATTGTTGAATAAGGCATCATTGTGTATATTTGCGATTAGTAGAGGGCATACATATTCACTCTTAGTTGCTGTGTTTGTATGAAATATGTGAATCTCTAAGTCAGCGTTATTTCTTAAAATAAATAAATTTTATCCTTATCATGGGAAATTTGACTTGAACTCTTTGGTTATACATTGTAAACATTCATCACACTATAGGTCAAAGTGACATAGTTTTTCATTTATGGCCCAGGATTTTCAATAATTTCATGTGCACATATTTTATATCTACATACTACAGAAAAGAAATCTAAAATAACCACTAAAGATTTAATATACCAGTGTTCACATTTTCATTGTGGATTTTTTTTGTGAGTACAGTCTAATTAACCCCATGAAACAGATGCTGTGACCACCACATAAAGAAAAAATTCAGCAAGAGGAGCATGGGACATGCATATGCTTTCATGTGAAAATTTGGCTGTGGTCCAGGGTGATGGGAATACTCTCCACAAGAGGACAAAATTTTTGAAGTTTGATTAGTCTCATTGGGCTTTTATATTCCACACTTGATAAACAACTGTGAAATGAACCATCTGTGAGCTACAGTTGGAAGAGAACTGGCTCAAGAGGGGATGCTATTTCCATGCTGAGGATTCTATTCCTCGCTGATGTGACTAGCAGTGCAGGTTATATTACAGAAAATTGAATATTACAAAAAATGTGACACAAATAACAAAATATTAATTGTTGTTATCACTGCACTGAGTTATGCACTGCTTAGAGATGAAATAGAGTCTGTGCAAGGAAAAGTCTATTACCATCTGGATAATTCAAATCAAATGACGAAGATAGACATTGTTGGAAAATAAATGAATGAAAAAAAAGTCTTGTCACCACACATGAGTATTTGTGTGCATCCTAATAACAAGTTGCAAACCCATCAGAGTGGCTGCTCAAGTAAGCCTAACACCTGTATTTTGGTCTGTTTCTTGGCAGTGCAGCATCTGGATTCAATGGGTTAAAAGCAGTAAGTCTAAGCAGAGCTATAACAAGAACTGAAAATTGTATCCCAAGCCATTTTTGTAGCCATAATGAGCTTATACCTATCCTCCTTATTGGCTGCCTGGCCCCACTTCAGGTCCAAACAATTCTTTATTACTGGGTAGACTAAAAATACATAGGCTAGGAACCAAGAATTGTCTGCACCTACAGGTGATGCCTCATAAACTCCTCTTGTTTATTGGTAAAACTTTTTATTTCTATTTAACTCCATGTTGACGAAAATAAGGTGCTTGGTTAAATGTCTCTGCACATAGATGGCTCTGCCAATGCTTAGCCACAAAGTAGGCAATTAGTAGATCTTGTGACCTCACTTTTCCTTAAAAAGCGGGAAAACTCTTTTTTTTCCCTAATGCTATCAATATTGACACTTATTTTTGTTATAAACACTACAATTACTTTATTGTTACTGACATTACTAACAGCAGTATTGAATAATAGAAAATAGTATTGAAAATCAAGAAAAAGGGTAAACAGGTTAGACAAGTAGTTAGTGTAATTGGCTCATTGGTGACAGTACTTGTTTAGCTATCTATATGTAAAAACAATTACTAAATTCAAGATACACAATGGGCAATGGCATGTATGTACATGCCAAGCCCCATGGGTTGGGGTTAAGATGGTATGGACGGATTTGGCTTGAATGTTAGCATTACATCCTTACTGTAATTATCAAAGCTGTTATTAGTACTGCATATCTCACCTCTCCCTTGATTTCCAGAAAAAAAAAAAAAAAAAAAATCTTGTATTACTGTTAGCAATGTCATGAACATTATAATAATTATAATATCTATAATAATAATAACAGCATCAATAATGATAGCATTAGTAAATACATTTTAGCCAAAAGCCCAAGGAAAGGTGAAATCAAGTTAGGTCACAAGGTGTACTGACTGACTCCTTTGGGTCTAAGCACTCATGCCCCCACCCACAAGCAGACATTTCAGGAAAAAAAAAAAAAAATTCCAGTAATCACATTTTCCTGGCAACATGGGGTTCATTTTCAGAAACAAAGGTATACAATAACAGGCCAAATCAAAATGTAAATGTTTACACTTCTAAAAAGAATACTTACTATACTCTAAACTAGTGTTGTCCAAACTGGGGTCTGTGTACCCCTAGTGGTACGCAAAATAGATCTTAGGAGTACATGGACAAACAAGGAACACACACAAACACAAACAACACACAGAAACAGAAACATCACATATTCTATGAATCATCTTTTTTGTTTGTGCATTAAATTCGAATTTATTGACCAACACTCCTGCAATGCAATCTTTTCATAATTAGTATGTTATTTACATTATCCTAAATAAAACAGTTTCTTTAG